AAATAAAGATTATTTTAGTAATAATTATTATTTGATTTAAATTCAAGTCTTCTTTTTTATTACGAATATGGTTGTCATACTTAAAACTCTGTCCTTAGCTAAAAGAAAGTATTTCACAACTACGTCTTCCAATTTTAAGCCTTCTTTTTGCTCTTTCTTTTTAAGCAATTCACTGCCGGAAGTAGCAAGCTGAAATAAAAGAAAACTGTGTTGAAATGCCACCAGGAATTTTTCTTTTCTATAAAGCTGGCCACAGTGTCAACTGCAAAACCGACAAAAGTACTTTCTTCTGCTCATCTCCGTTGCAGCGGCAAGCGTTGCACAAGTTTTGCAACCGTGACAGTTCGACTTGTCACAAAACTGCGTAGATTCCGCATTCGTCGATGACAAGCTGCAAAAGTTTGCGCGTCACAGTGAAATATTTTACAAAAATAAATAAATAAAATAAAAATTGTAAGCGCAAAAGCGCAAATGTTGACGAAGATGAACACTTTCTACTAAAGTTCAAATGTAAAACGCGCTAAAATGGCTCTCAAAGCCTTTGTTTTGCGTTAGTTTTTTTTTATTTTCTAAAATTTCCAAGACAATTGCGCGCAAAAAAATTCATTTAGACAAATTGAAGCTTGAGTTGTTTTAACTGTAGCGCAGTTTTTACAGTTAACGCTTGTAACTTTGCTCTTAGCTTTTTTCAGCGTGTCAGCATAGCTTAACTGCTACTAAATTTGTTTGGATATTTTATTGCGCTGGTTGCTTTAACTACAAATTTTTCAAGTTTTGCGAAGCTTGAACTTACTGTTAAGACTCTTTGAGGTTCGGTGGCAACATAGTTCTAAACATATACGATAATATAATCATAAAAGTGGTTCCTTTAGCCTTGAATGATTTTTCAAGATGAAGTTATTGAGACTAGTAAGGATTCTGGAAGCAAAGATATGCCACAAAAAACACAAATTTTTTCTAAGTTCCAAGAGACTCAGAGAAATTGTCTTAACAGCGAGTGCAATCGATATTTCGCACAAAAAAAAGATATGCTTTATTATGTACTCAAAACAATAAAGAGGGTATTGGTGTTATAATTGGGCACGCTTGCTAACATGAGTTGAAAGACGACTTCTTTAAAAAATTATATAATACAAGTATTTAAATTTTTCTATCACATACCTATATAAATATATTTTATAAAAATTTGTTTAAGGAGTTATATCCATATGCAAAATGAATTTCTTTGTAATTCTTTTTTCGGAGTAGCGTTATATTTAATAAATATATAAAAATAATATAAATTGACAGAATTTTATATATTTTTATAATCGGCGATTCATCTTGAAAACTTTTTGATTTCCTTGATATTGTAGTCACTCTCCAGGACGACCTCCGAAAAAAGATGACTGGTGGTGGGAGATATTTTTCTGTTTAAAATTAACTCAAATCCAAAAAACGAAAAAAAAATCATTTCTTTAGATGAATACAGGTAATGGTCGAATTACTAGTCAAAATATTGATTTATGACAAAGACGTCATTCACCACAAAGAAGTCGTTTTCTGTTAAAAAACTTACACTTCAGAGTGGCTTTAAAAATTATTATCAAAAATCGTATTTCTTCGATCCCAAATATTTCAAGGTGATTGGTCATAATTTTCTTCACCGACTCTGCAAACAGCGTTTCGAAAAAAAATGCGTTTAAAGTTTTGGGAGCCGATTACGCTAAGTTAAACAATTCTTACAAACACGCTCATATTTCCGAAAATATTTGACGGATCAACCTTAAATTTTCAGAGAATATTCTCAAATACATATACATTCAAGATATATGAAAAAATAATAGATTTTTGGAAATTCGCAAGTGGATATAACCCCTTAAAAAAGCTATGACTAAAGCTGAAAGTTCGATCTCTCTCTTGCTCTCTCTCTGCGATAAAACATAGCTTTCGAAATCAACTCCATTTTCCCTCTTAATTTTTTAATAACATTTTTTAATAATTTGAGTTTTTCCAATACTAGATTTTAGTGTATATTTATTCAAATTTGATTCAGCAAAGTATGTAAACTCTACTAAAATAACATTTCTCTCAAAATATCCATCGCTTCTTTCAAACAATACAGACATATAATATATGTAAATATATAGCGCGTATATATATATGTGTGTGTCTCTCTATAAATACTTTCAGAAGTGTATATACAACATGTGCTTATATATTTACATGTATGTTAATAAGTACATTTGTTAAATGCACCGTTGTTTATATATTTTAACACCAACTTTGTTTATTATGCCAAACACAACTGTGGTAGCCATGCGGTTTGGAGCATAATCGATTTTGCATATATATTTATATATTATATATATAATATTGTGCATGTTAATACCGTTGAGTGCATATGTATGTGTGAGCTTTGAAAGTGCGGTTATAGTGCCAGCTTGCTGTCTGAATTCCAAATATTTACTTCCGACACTGAGTTCGAAATTTGTGAACTCTACCACAAAATCAGTTGGTAGGTCTACTGTCAAAGTTATGAATGCGTGGATGTGTGGGTAAATCTGTGAGGGTGTGTATAATTTTCGCTATAATATATAGCATATGTTGGTATAACTGCTTAATTGTCTTAAAGTTCTGCATTTGCATGTTACGTATACGCCATGGCACTTTTAACTGCATTTAAGCTCAACTTTCAATTTGGGGTTATATATAATATTTATATAGATATACACTTTGTTAATCGTTTTTAAACGAGTATTCTTGTAAGTGTAGATGTATAGACGAATATATGATTTTAAAATATAATTTTTTTTGTAATTAAAGTAAAGTTTTGTTAAGGTTGTGGCCGCAGTTCAGTTTAGAATATACTAAAGTCTGTTTGAATATAAATAATTAGCATAAAATGCACGAGATATTCCAAAACAGCTATTAAAAAATTAAATAGAACAATATGATTATTTATTAAGGGGTTAGGTCAATCTAAAACCGTAAAAGGATATAATTTGTACATTTTTTTCTAGGAGTAAAGAAAAGGCATTTCCTTCATTCAGGCTTGATTAAACCTATTTGAATTTATATACAAAATTACAAGATTTAAAAAAATCATAAAATTTGAGATTGACTGCACCGAAACTATAATACCCTTCACAGCTGCTTTTCTTATAGCATAAAAGGGGTATATACAGATCTTTATCTTGATATACACAATTTCTTTGAAGATTGTAGTGTTGCTTTGGACAATAATTCGTGTCAAATTTCGTGAAGATATCTTGTCAAATAAAAAAGTTTTCCATACAGGGACCTGAATTTGATCGGTCAGTTTGTACGACAGCTATAGGCTATGGTAATCCGATATCGGCGGTTCTGACAAATAAGCAGCTTCTTATGGATAGAAGAACGTGTGTGAAATTCCAGATCCATATCTCAAAAACTGAGGGACTTATTGCACATATACAAATAGACAGACGGACATGGATAAATCGACTCAGCTCGTACCGCTGTTCATTTATATAGATATATATTTTATAGGTTTTAGGACCTAAATTATATTGTAAGCCAAAAAAAATGTCCGATTTTCAGAAAAACCTAGACTGGTGCAGACTCTTACGTTCAATGCCTTTTGCGTAGAGTCTTGAAGATTCAACTTTTTCAACAAATGAGATTGAGATCTTCTTCGAATTAATGTCCAATATTATTACATAATTTTATATATTTTTGGTTTGCCCTTATGAATAGCAGTCAGTGAATACTAAATATGGGTTATACAAGAAATATATCTCGCCTTTGTACTACAATTACATCATAAATTTAAATAATGCCTATTAAATATATTTTCAATAATAATTGTTGAGACTATTGCCCCCACTCAACGTTTTCATCTCTAAAGTATTGTATCAAATTTGACGCTGACAGCCAGAAACTCAGCTGAATACTTTTTAAATGTTTGGCTTTGAAAATGTCACTCGAAACCCGCTCAGACACACAGACACACACACACAACAACATCCGTTCGCAGCAACACATTTGTGTGTTGTGTGTGTGCGCTCGAACAAAAACTTTGCGACACATAACATTGAAACTTTTTTGCCACTCAGCGTCAATTCTTTTTAACAAAATTCTGCAATGTCATCGCGTTCTGACATTCGCAAAGCTACACTTATCAACTTTACAAGCATTTACATAGTGTCAGTGGTAGTAGCAGAAAGCTGACAGTAACAACGCTTTGTGGCGGCTGGATGTGAAAGAGAGAAAGAGAGAGAGAGTAAGTTTTAAAGTAACATTCCGCTCGTGTTTGTTGACATTTTGGTAGAAATTCGCTGGCAGAAGTTTGTTATGCTTAATATAAATATTTGTTTGTTTATTATTTTGTAATGCGAGCATTGTTGTTGGGAAATTCTCAGCTTCTTATTATCAGTGAAACATTAAAATAGTAGAAAAAATTCAAGTTTGCGGCTAAAAGTTCTTCAACGAAGTTGAAGATTCTGGAAAATACATTTTAATAACTATGGCTCGGATTTTGGACCCAAAGTAAGTTAGAGCAACACTGTACCAATCGTGTAATGACTTACTAGTGAGCTGTTGGTAGTCACTAAAACAACCTTTTCAAAGCGTTTCAAAGTTGCCGCATACACTCGAAAGTGGGGAAATTGCATGTCATATGAATTGAAGCCGTCAACAGACGTTGAAAGACGACTTTGCATGTCGGAAAGGCTACAAAAAGAATTCGTGTTTGCATCGAATTGTGCCTGGTGATAATAATGGATCGAATATGACAACCCTAAATTCAAATTATCATATGTGAAATCTAACCAACCAGCCAAATCAATAAGTGAGTTATGAAAATATTTTCTCCGGCATACATGTTTTTGTTTGATGAATAATGTATGATAAATTTTAGTACCATAAACCAATTCTGTTATGAAATATTTTCAGACTTTTGATTCTTGCGAATTACTACACTATATAGTTTACTGCTGAACCCGACCGTAGCCCTGCTTAAGTTGTTGTTCAAGAAACAATTTTATTGTTCCGTTGCACATATTTTTTTATTCGGTCAAATTTTACACATTTTTATCATTCATTGAAATTGACTTTCTTATTGTTGAGAGCATTCAACACTTCCTTTTCTCGAATTTCCTTCAGTTTCTTTTTGAACTCCCATTGCGACCATTCATCGGCCGGTTGCACAAAACAGCCCACATCCTCTTCATGCTCCGCATTCAAGAAGTTATTCTTCAATTCTATATCTTCGTTGTTATCCATAATACCAGGCAGATCTCTTCGCCTTACCATTTCCAGCAGTTCTAAACGCTTCGCTTCGATTTGCTCGGCGAAATGCTCTTCTATCGTCTGCAGTAAGTTAGAAGAAGCATTTAGATTCTCTCCACCCTTGTCTAAATCATAAATATATTCCTTATTAGCTTTATGTTGCGTTTCGGCGACGTCGTTTGTGTCTTTGCTATAAATTACACCATCTAATTCGTGCTTTAAATCATATTTATTTAACAATTCCTTTGGATCTGTGCTGCCACCGGGTTCACGCGCCTGGTCACGAAATGGGAATGAACTCTTCAGTAGATTCTCTAAACTTTTGTACGTACTTGGCCACAAACTCGAGAGGTAAGATGGTGTCTCATTGGTTTTGATCAGATTGAAGCGTATCTTTTTTATTGGACTCGAGCCGTTAAGCTTCACTTGGGATTCCGTTGTGCCCACGCTGTTCGTGTGTGAAAATTTGGTGGCATTGCTTTTTAAGTTTTTTGAACTGTGTGCTGCAGTTACCCCAGCTTTGTGCTTGGAACGTTTACTCTTTAATTTTCCATCGATATTTATTTGGGAATTTTGTTGCGATGAATTTATGTTCGTACCCTAAATAAAAGTAAAAATCATGTGTAGCTAACGGGAATAAATATTTTTTGAAATTTATTGTAGACAAGTACTAAAAATTTAAGGCAAGCAGAGAGGATACTCGGTCGACCAGCTCATAATTTCTCCAGAAATTTCCTTTGGTTCCAATACATTTGGAAATGACGCTCGCGTTAAAGGAAAAGTGAAAACAGTTTTCGCGTAGAAAAGCCCGGATTATGCTAACTCGTATATCAGACTCTTGAAGCGCTTTAAAATAAGAGAATTTCGCTGTAAGCTACCGTTTCTATACTTCTTCTTATAACTTCTAAAAATCGAAAAAAATGCATACTAAATGTAAGTAACAACATTAGCACACCAGGGTATAAGGATAAGACTGCCACTCCTGTAAACACGCGCCCAAAACAAAATCGGTACGAAAAGATAGCGTTAAGAGTATGAAGAAATACTTGTAGTCATTGCTAATTTCTAAATTGCATTTCTTTTAACAAAATGATTAGCAATACTAACCCCTTTTACTCGATTATTTGAAGCATTTCGTTTAGCAGTTTCCATCTCATATGCTTTATACGCTTTCTTAATTTCTTTCTCTGTTGAACTGCTACTCATTACCGTAAGCCGCACTTTCTTAAATGCTGGTTTCAAAATAGTACAAATTTTAGGCTCTCTATAACTATTTGTGGAGTTATGTGCATTTCTCTCAGCAGACACTGACACCTCTGCCGGTTTCTTCGCTCTCTGCGTTGGTGGACATGCCACAGTTTTATCATTTCTTATACCAGAATCGATTCTTGGACGAACGCTCTTGTAATAATTTCGATTTTTAACTCTAGATGTCTCTTCCGCTACAGGTTCTTTAATCGCGATTGGTGCTTTTTGATTATTTGTGTGATCTTCTTTAACTTTCGCCAGTTTTGTTTCGTGCGCCGTCTCAGTAAACGATTTTTTCAGTTCGGCGTTTAAATTCGAACTGCCTTTCAAGTCTAATTTACTTTTCTCGACAGTATCACGCAATAAGTTCTGCTTACTATCGTTCAACGTGACTTTTGTATTGTAAATGACGAAACCACTCTTCGGTTCGGCAACAGGTTTGGCGAAGTTCATATATTTTTCAATCATTTGACGTTGATCGGCCAAATCTTGTAAAGCTAATTTGCCGCTTTTCATTATCTCGTTGCCATAAATAGAAAACCAATTGTTAACCATAGCCTCCACATAGCTAACAATGGCCTCCTTCACTGGCTCCACAGTTTCATCGAGTCTGGTTTTCAGCGAATTTATTACTTCGATGCCTACGGAAATGGGAAATTAAGGTGGATAAATAATTGGAAAGAATTTACTTGCTGCTTGCGGTTTCCCGTCCGCCCAGCTGGCATGTCTCTGCCCTTGTCCGTTCAGAGTTTGTACTTGTTGACTTTCCTCAATTTCCGAAATATTATCCTCTTCCAATATGGGGTAGACATCTTTGCTACGACGTGCTGCGAGCTCATCCCAAGGATTTTTTTGTTGTTTCGTGCGTGATAATATCTTCGGCGGTCGATTACATGCTTGCATGTCAGTAAACTAGAAATAATTATGAAGTTATTAGTATAGTCTCAAACCACTGAATATGAATAAGTGATCGAGCTCAGTTTAGGAGGGCAATTGGAATCAGTGTTAATAAATACATCGTTTAAAAGAACGACTATAATTTACTGACTTTGTTCTCAACATATTCTACATATAGAAAATGAAATGCGAAATCATCCTAAATGTAGGCAACAAATATTAAGAAAAACATCTTCAAGAACCTTATTTAAATGGTCTATTATGAATAATTATGAATATAAATTGAAAATAATAATTTTTAAGTCTTCCTTTCAGAAAACAACTATCTCTAAAGTAATATTACTTACCGTTTGTATTAAATTACTGTAGAGAGTTTGTGCGAGTTTCTCCGGGAAAGGTATCAGCACATTGATGCTGCCGCCACAAGTGGCACGCACTGTTATCTCAGGAAACACGGTTATATTCGTCACCACATTGGTGCGTGTATTTAGGAAATTGATCAATAAACGATGATCCAAATGTACGCCTAAAAGTATGTACAGCATGCGATTGTATATATAACGTATGGAATATTTCGAAAATTGATTCCAGCCCTCAGGTATATAGATTGTGCCCACTTCATCTTCGGAATAGGTACGCTGTCGGAAAAAATGAAGCTATATTTGTATATTTACTATTACATATATTATAGCATACATACATCATCACCCAGTCCCAGACATCTGAAACCATTTTTCATGAGTATATAATGCGTGAAAGCAACAATCAGATCAGCTTTGCTTTTGATATTGCCAAAAATTTGCAAATAAAACTCTTTCCAATCGTCAAAACATTTTTTCGTATCTTTATCGTCGTGCTCTTCCTTGACGTTTACGGTATCTGCGCTCGTTTCTCGCTGTAATGGCCTTGATGCTGCGGTTTCGAGTTCAGTTTCTGCTTCAATAACATCTTTTTCTCTTTTCGAATTTTTTTCGGCTTTTAGCGGTTTTTCAATAGCTGCTTTCACTTTTGTCTTGCTATTAATAGTTGATTTGGAAGCGTTCGACGACTTCGAGCTCCTCCAACTTTGTCTCGACTCCCTCTGCGGTGTTGTTGGTGTAAGCTTTCTGGACATTTTTCTTTATTATTTGCTATTACAATTTTTTTTGCAAATTATTTATATTTTGAGTATATTATGCAAAATAGTTTATGTTTTTTTGGTAATTTTGAATTTTTATTAGCGAAAATGTTGAGAGAACTTAGGAATTTTGAAAGCAATAAAATATGCGTTTTTGGATTTTTTTTTAATTTGAAAGCAAACCTATGACGTGAAAATTTTGTGAGATTGTAAACGACTAAAAGAAAAAATTGTTCTCATTTTCTTTTACTGAACTATACTGGTATAAAAATGCAGGGTTTCAATAAATTTAATTTAAAACTTGAACAGAACAAACTGTTGTGCATATTACTTTTAGATTTATCAAGCGTGGGTTCAATGTCTTACTATTGTCTATATCTTATCATAACCACATGAATAATAACTTCGTAAATGATGTTTTTTCTTTTTAAAGGTCGAGAACGGATCCACGATATTTTGGAAAATCCGGCTTTAGACCCGCGTCTTGTCACAATCAAATATAAATCAGCTACTTAGTATTCAGAATTCAAAACTGATATACCTACAAGAAGATTAAATTTAAATTTACAATAAGCATTTTCAAGCTAATATTTAATGGATTCTGAAATCTGGATCTATGTGAGAACTTCAAACTGATATTATCAAATGAAAATTATGCAATAAGGGTATCAAAATGCAATTTTTCTAAAAATCTCCAATAAGATACACTTTGGAATGAAGTTGCCACCTGTCGGCTAATCGAGATTTATCAAAATATTGCAAAATATATGGCGAGAGCTGTTTAAGTAAAATTACTAGGAAGTATTTGATGTGGTTTTAATTTAAGGGGCGAAGTAGTTTGACGTGATATCGATGACAAGTTTTAGCATGTTCTCCATACGAATACAGTTTTTTAAAAAATGACCTTTCAGATCTGATTTAAAATCATTTTTTGACAGACCAAAAACCATCAAAATTTTGGGTTAAATAAATTTTTATTAACGCCGCCAGTTTGACAATTTTTCTAAAGCAATTGAAGCAGTATGTTTTTTTTTTTTAAATCCTAAAAATCGCATTGTTTAGGCTGTCACTGTAGGTGTGCCCGTTAAACATATTTTGGAATAGGGTTGCCATTTATTATTACATAATATTAGTGTAAGCATAATTTATGCAAGCCTGAGAGAAGCATATTTATATACTGTGTTTCGAGAAGTTTAAGTAAATCTAGAACTTCGTTCAACGAACCCAAGTTCTCTTAGAAATGACATCGTTGAGATTACCATATTTCTAATAAAGCAAAACAATAAAAACCAATTTTTATACAACACATTTGTCTCGCTGAAATATTGTAACCAGCGACTCTGTACATAATAATGTTCAACGATGTGTGAGGTGTTTGCAACATGCCACATTTAATTTTAAAATCTGTTATTTATACTTGTCGCGTTCACAAAATGCAAAGTTTCATACAAAATGCTCATGAAAGGCAAAAACTATATTTACATACATACACGCATACGAATACATATGACAGTATGGCTGTAGTGAAATGTCATATTAAAGAGAATAAATATAGTTCATAACTAGAAATTGCGAACTAAACTTTAACTAGTTAGAAGAGGGTCAGATTTTAACTAATTTTTGGAAAGTGGTTTTACAAAGAGTATATACTTAGGTTGGTGCATTAATATTTTTTCAATCAAATCATCAAATCTATGAAAAATTGTATAAAATTTTTGATCACAAACTAAATTAAACTGGACTAATTCGTATCTATACTTAACTATACTGAAACTGCTATTGTCCGGACCAAACTCAGTAACATTTCGTACAACGTCAGTACGTAAAGAATACCAGATTCTTAAGTGACTAGACTAGTCTAACTAGTTGCTTTTGTGGCCCAAAAGTAAGTACTAAATAATATAGTACTTGTAAACTTGATTGCTACGTTTAATGTGGAGCTTTGTTCGGTGGCACATTCAATTCTGTCAGCAGCTAAATGCAGGCGCAAAGGCGATTTAATTGCTAGCGTGCTATTCAACTAGCGGCACTATCTCTCTCTCACCACCCAAACTTTCAAAATTAAATACATACTCACATATATGTGGAGCTTAAACAACATATGGCACTGTGAGAGTGAAACTATAGCAACATCTGAAATATATATGTATGTAAACATACACCAAGACACCAGCACTCAGGCGCTAATAAATAATATTGTTTGTAGTTTCGCCATAATAAATAGTGTTGTCGCCTTTGTTTGGAAGTTCTGGCTTATGATCGGTGCATAGTTGTGCCGTTGTGTGTGGATTGGTGTGCGAAAGTTTAGCAGTCTATCAAACACTAGCATGCCACATGACGCATGCTGCATGCCACTTGACAACTTAAGCAGATGAATGTCATTTTGCATGGCAGTAAATTACTTTAGCGCAAGTTTTCTAAAGTTTCATCTACATTTGTTGGACTGATATATTTATGTATATACCCTATATATTTGTAGCTATAAAGACACATGTTCTACTATGATATATAGATATGTCTTTATAAAATTTATAAGCACACATATGTGTATATTACGTAATGAGCGCAATTGTGATTTTAAGTGTTCGAGAGCGTATATAATATACATATATACATATGGCTGTTAAATAACTACTTGTGGGGGATATTTTCCTTGTTGGCAGAAGTTTGGTTAGGAAATGACATATTTACTTCAAAACTAATTCCATTTTATCTTTGAAAAATGTTTATGAGAAGTTTGAGAAAAATTTTTAATGCTCAAAGACACTCGTATACTGAAATTAATTTCATTCCAGACGCTTTAAATAAGGTTTGCTTAATGGTTCGACTCGTATGCAGTTTACGACACTCAAAAAATGATAAACCCGAAATCTGCAGACAAAATAGTTATGTTGATGTATTATATATATAAAGTGAAAAGAAAAACTCAAAAGCATTTAGGGTAAGAGTATAGTGGTGCAAAGTTTTAAGTGATCTAATTATATTTTGGTTATTTTTGAACATCTGGTATATAAGCAAAGTAAAACAAGAAAAAACGCTAACTTCGTTGGCTCATAAGTCGTAACTTTATTCTTTACATATAAAAAAGTTTTCCTTAAAAGAACTTGATTTAGATCGTTCAGTTTGTATTGCAGCTATATGATATAGTGATCTAATATCGGTGGGTCTGACAAACGAGCAGCTCTTTGAAGTGAAAAGAACGTATGAAAAATTACAGATTGATGTCTAAAAAACTGAGAAACTAATTGGCGTATATACAGACCGATGTTTCCTTCTGGGTGCTATAGACATAATAATAAACTTAATATAGCCTGTTGTGTGTACAAAAAGCAAAATTTCTACTGGGTTGTCTTTGAAACTTCTTCTGTAGTGACACATTAACCACCACATCAACTAAATCGCGTTCACTTTACATTCAGTAATCACTTGTATTCACTGAAATTATCTCTCCACAAATCCATCTATTTCTTTACACAGTCAAAGGAGCGATATTTTTCGTTTCTAATTAATGAGTACTTATATGTTTATCTATTATTTGAATAATAATTTAATTAATGAGTACTTATATGTTTGTCTATTATTTGAATAATAATTTAATTATTTGAATAATAATAGATAAAAACATAAGTACTCATTAATTAAGCCTCTTCTGTCTTAGTATGCAATGTTTTGTTTTATTGTAAAACCGAAAACGTTATTGAAGTATGCATATTAAATTTGCCAAGTGCACGGGCTTTCTCAAATTACGAATACTCATACGTAACTAAGAAATTATTTTTGCAGTGTTAAATCTATTTAATCATCAAAATCTGTTTAAATCAAAGCTTTTTCGAGTATTTTTCTCCCGTTTTTTTTACGTCTTATGTTTGATATATGTTTTGTAATAGTTTTTGTTTTAATTCATGTAAAGTTGGCAACTCTGTTTCAAAATTTAACTATTTTAAAGCCTGAGCGAACAACTTTGGAAATCTTTACTTAACTATCTGGCGTTCAATACATATTTAATAAACATGCAGCATATTTTTTTAAACGCTTTTTATCTGTAGCAAATTAAAGTTTTTTGGGTTTCATCCACGGAGAAGGGAGGAATCAGTGCAGCAATGGAGTATCTTTCTGTTTAAAATATATCTTAATATACCTTAAATATATAATATACCTACATAATTATATAAAAAAGAAGACCTCAGACACCACTAAGAATATTACGAAATTGTTTTTTAATAATTTAAATTTATATTACATAATTAGTTAATACGATTATAATTGCGAGTCACACTCATTTAATAAGTAGAAATAAAATTTATTCTTAATACCGATGCAAACTTTGTTGGTGGTAAATAGTCAAGAGAGCAAAGCTGTAAAACAGGTAAGGAACTTGAAGTAAAAAAGTAAAGTATGATATTAACTACCCCGAAGTGATATGATTCACTGTGCGCTTAGCTTAAGGTCTATTGAAACTGGTATTAAAAAATGTTGCTATATATAATATATTTATATATTCATGCATTAAGGTAGGAGTGGACATTAATATTTATTTATAAAATTTTCATGCAAAAAACCAAAGAGGAGTTCAAGTGTGAGGTTGAAATATCTACACAGGGTGACTTAACAATTTTGGAAAAATTTGTCTAGTAACCTATTCATATTTGAAATATATATATATATATATATATATAAATATATATTCTTTAATCAATTATATCAGCCAAGGTATGCCAAGCACTAAGTGGCTCTCGTCGAAACTACATGTTTACATTTTAATTACTTTGTCTCACCCTATACTTAGCGGTTGAAAATGTGCATTCATTTTATGATGGTTATGCTGCGCTCTGATGGATTTTCAATCAAATTGAATATGCAAATGTCCCAGGCGCTTGAAATAAAACCACAGAAAATTTTCATAAAACAAAAGCAGACTGACAACTGAATGCGTTGGTGTTGGCGAATAACTTTGGGAATACTACAAAATAATGAAATAATAGCGCAGTAGCGCTGTTAAGTGTATCGTTATACTGATCGTTTTGCACTTGAACGGTTTTATTCGAGTTACATAAGGTGCGACTCCACATATGTGTAGTGTGTAGTAATAGCTTTAAAAATACAATATATTGGAAATATGGAAAGATAAGGAAATACGTCTGATAAAAATAAAATAAATTATTCCGCTCGGTACCGCCAGAGTCGCTTTAGTGATGAAAA